AAGACTGATTGTAAAAAAGCACTGTGAAATAACAAAATTAGAATAATTGCTGCAGACAAGCCATATTGGCTTTTGTGGCTTGGAATTGTATGTGTTGTAAATTTGTATTTTTCTTTTGGAAATAAATAATAATAATAATAATAATAATTTCACTTTACTTCCATCATTGCACAAGATAAGCTACTATAAAAGAAAACAACCTGTAACAAATAGGTACATACAATTTTTAAATGTAAATATTTTATACATTAACTTTACATTACAGCTTTAAAACGGTTAATCATAAAATTTGTAAAATAAAGCTTACCTCAAAGTCATGGCCAACATTTCAGTAGGTTGAATACAGTTTATAAGCCAAGTATACTGACGTTGTAGGTAATCAAAATAGACTCTGAAATAGTAAAAAAAAAACTCTAGTCATTAATTTGTGGAACTATAAAAAATGTTTTGTGAAAAATCTATACCATAGTTTTAAAAGGCAAATACCACTCACTCACTGTATAATGAATATATTTACACTATTTGTTGTGGTTTTCAGGATATGTGTTTGTAGGTGTAATATTGAGTTTTAATAAGGCCCTTTACCTTGGTGAAAAAATCACAGTTATTGTAAACCTGCAACTGTTTATGGATTTTGAGAGTTATAAGAATTATAATAAAACACCAAGCAATAATTTGTGTTACTTTAAGATACGTAATATGTTGAAACATATTACGTATCTTAATATGAATAAAGTAATAGTTATGGGAGAAATAAGTTAACTGTGCTATTGTTCTATGGCCTACATACACTTTCAAGGTAAGCAAGCTGCTATCCTCCTTTTTCTACAATTCAAAATCCTGGCCTAGATTTTTTTTAAGTCACAATGGGTTTGGCTAGTAATGTATACAACAAACCAATTTCTCGGTTTGTTTTTCTTACTGCATTGTCTTGTTTTTAGACACTGACATTACTCAGTCAGATAATAAGTTACAGTCAGAGTATGCTCTTACCCCTATTATGCACTTACCACCACCCCACCTTAAGCTATCGAATGAAAATGTTATCTGATAATGTATCGCTGGTTTTCTGCAGAACTGTAGGAGGATTTGTTAAAGGTAATAGGCTACAGTAAAACTTCTTCTAAATTCACCCCATTGTACCACAGCATGGGTTATGTTAGAAATAATAAAATGGTAACCAAGTTAGATCAATAGGAAAGTAAAATGTCCTCCATGGTGTGGCACAGTTAGTACCTCTGGCATGTACAACAGGATTGTAATGGTACACACTACACTACACACAGATGCCCATGACTTACAGAGTTTAAGATCATATTCAGAAACTGTTGATTAAGACTGATTTAGATATTTAGGAAATAGATTTTGTGCAAAGTTAAAGGCTACCCTTGTAGATAGGCTGTATAAAGATAACATAAAACAAAAGCATCTGGTATAAATCTCTTTGAACTGACGAATTTCCCGTTATCCAATTTTCCAAAAAAAAAAACCTCACAGTGAAGCATAAATATCAAGGGCTGCAAATGGTGTCATTTGAGACCAGGGAGCTATAAAAAAACATACTTATAAACGTACAGAAAAAATTACTCAAAAACGACCATCCTAAATGGTTGTGTCAACTCTGTCTCTAAATAATAAGTCCTTATTATTTCCTGTGTTTGTTGAGTTAAGCATACATTTTCTATGGAAAAAAAAATAAGTAAATGGTGTGAAGTTGAGACAAGGTATTATCAATTTACAGTTAGTACTTGAATGAAATCAAACACCAAAGCAGTTAACTTTTTAATTTCACCAAATATATTTTATTAACAAATAAAAAAAACTTAATTTAATATATTAAATAGTTTATGTGACAAATGTGATCAATGTCTTGGTTTAAGTGTACAGTAGACTCCTTCTTATCCAAACTCCTAGGGACCGAGGCCAGTCCGAATGACAGGTTTTTCAGTTAAAGCGACATTCCCAAAAACTTGTTAAAACAGGCCATTTAAATGCATGCTGTATACATATTTGACTTAAATTTAGGAGAGCATTGTATTTAGACATGTGATCACAGGTCTCAAATCTTTCCCACGAGAACAGTCATTTCAGTACCGCCCACTTCCTGCCAATCTAGTCTGGTTAAACCTATAAGCTGATTAAAATAGTCCGATTAAAGAGACGTCATTGCCACAGATTTTAGTTCGGTTAAACCGATGTCCAGTTAAAAGGTGCCCATATAAGAGGGAGTCTACTGTATGAACAATTCTTAACACCCAAAAATAATATATTTATTCTAATTAGCATAAAATTGAAAAATGTACAAAAACTTAACATTACTGGCTTTTCTGGACCAAGGCAGAATATTAAAATAATAACACTGGAATGTACGTTACAATAAAGAAGTCAGTTGTAATGTATATAAAAAATTATAATTATTAAAATAAATAATCAGTTCTAGATACAACTAAGTATTTTATAAAAACATGGAATGAACAATGGAGATTTGTATCTTTGCAATGTTTGACTTTACATGATTATTACTGCTATGTTTTTGTGCACCATCATAGCCTAATTCTAATTGAAAAAAAAATGTTTATTTTTAGTGCTAATTTTAGTTATTTCACCAACTATATAAATTTATGCAAGTTTGGTTACGATTTTAAAACTATTAAAAACAATCAAGAATGCAAGATTTTTTTTATCTTGCAAATTAAAAAAAAATCCTCACAGTAGGATCTACATTCTAAAACATTGAAATTCATAGCAATGTCATTTTTTTAAAACCATCACTGTAAGACTTTTACGAGTATGGAGCCATGAAAAGAACCTTTGTACTACGGATCATGAAAGAACACTCCAAATAAATAAACACTGCATAGTAAATATATACTTTTTTATAGATTGCTCTACAGTGTGAACCGATGGATATATCATAATCATTAATATGTGTTGTTAAGGATTGATTCTGAATGATGAGCACTATGTAGAAATACCTATCACACAGGGTCTTTCTTCATCGTGAGGGTTGTGGTACATGAGAGCCAGAGTGGTGGAATTTTCCCTAGACACCAGTACTAGTGCTAGACACCACTTAGTGTACCGTGGAGTGTATACTCTGTTCCTTACTACTCTGTGAGTACACTTACAAGGTCACTCTCCTGTATGAACCAATATATACTTCTTTTCCCTTTCAATTATATGTCTAATTTATGATCTCTGGTATAAACAAATGCATAAACAAGTGCCTTCATTATAGTTTTGGTTATGAAGGATCTTCCACATATAGTGCACTTATGAGGTCACTCTCCGCTGTGAACCAAAAATGTATGAATCTTTATATAGTTATGGGTTGTGAAGAATTTTCCAGAATTAGTGCAATCATGAGGTCACTCTCTGGTGTGAATACAAGTATGTTTCTTCATATTGCTTTTTGTTAGGAAGGATTTATGAATTATAGTGCAATTATGAGGTCATTCCAGTATGAATCAAAGATTGTTTCTTCATACTGCTTTTTTTGGGAAGGATTTTCTACAAATAGTGCAATTATGAGGTCACTCTCCGCTGTGAACCAAAAATGTACGAATCTTTATATAGTTATGGGCTGTGAAGGATTTTCCAGATATAGTGCAATTATAAAGGTCACTCTCCGGTATGAATCATTGTATGTTTCTTCATATCGCCTTTGGTTGTGAAGGGTTTTCCACATATAGTGCAATTATGAGGTCGCTCTCCAATGTGACGCATTAAATGAATTTTCATATCGCTTTTTCTTGTGAAGGATTTTCCACATATAGTGCAATTATGAGGTTGCTTTCTGGTGTGAATCAATATATGTTCCTTCATATTGCTTTTTGTGTGGAAGGATTTTCCACATATAGTGCAATTATGAAGTCGCTCTCCAGTGTGAAGCAAGGTATGTCTCATCATACTGCTGTTTGTTGTGAAGGATTTTCCACATATAGTGCAATTATGAGGTCGCTCTTTGGTATGAATTAGTGTATGTTTATTCATATCGCCTTTGGTTGTGAAGGATTTTCCACATATAGTGCACTTATGAGGTCGCTCTCCAGTGTGAAGCAAGGTATGAATTTTCATATCACCTTTTCTTGTGAAGGATTTTCCACATATAGTGCAATTATGAGGTCGCTCTTCGGTGTGAATCATTGTATGTGTCTTCATATTGCTTTTGGTTGTGAAGGATTTTCCACATATAGTGCAATTATGAGGTCGCTCTCCAGTGTGAGTCAATGTATGTCTCATCATAGAGCTATTTTTTGTAAAGGATTTTCCACATATGGTGCAATTATGACGTCTCTCTCCAGTGTGAAGGAGTGCGTGTTCCTTCAATATAGCATTGGTTGTAAAGGATTTTTCGCATACAGTGCACTTATGAGGTCGCTCTCCAGTGTGAACCAATGCATGAATCTTCAGATGGTTATTGGTTTTGAAGGATTTTCCACATGTAATGCACTTATAAGGACGCTTTTCAGAATGTGACAATAAATGATACTTTACTTGAGGTAGTTCAATAAATGTTTTCTCACATGTCAAACATTTAAAGGGATGTTCACCCGTGTGTCCATATATATGAATTTTCATTTTCCATTTAGCTGAAAACATGTTTCTACATATTGGACACGTATGGGGAAGATTTTTAGTGATCTTAGACATTTTTTACTTTGCACTTATTGACTTTGTGAAACTTATCAAACAAGCAAGTAACTAACTATAATCAGGATAAGTTCTAAATAATGGGTATTATAGACCAGATACTATTTCCTTTTTTCAGGATATGTTTAGGTGTACCTATATAATTAAACTTAAAACATTTTCTTCCTCAAAATTTGTGATTGATATGAGATATTTTATTACATACTTTATAAGAGTTAAGTAAAATAATCTGTCAATGTGTTATTGTTCAATATTATCACACTTAAAGACATAAATGTTAATCATGATTTAACATGTAATTTTACAGAGTGAATTGCTGACTTCCATTAGTTTTTTTAAGTGTAATAGAAACATAATAACCTGTATGATTATTATGTTTCTTTAAGCTGTTGCTTAAAGTAGGCTACTATTGTATCCTGAGATGATCTCAATAAGTTTCACTTCGCCGAATAGAAGATCCTTTTCATTATATCTGGGAAGGTGTATTGCAATTTCTGAAAAACACCCATATTTGATTAGATATGTACATTTATTGTAAATATTTAGGTTAATATTTGTTAATTTAGGTTAAGATGGATTAAAAGCATTACAGAAAAATATACTAGATCCAGAACATCATAAGAATCAAATATCTGATTCAGAAATGCCATTGAAGTTGATGTAATCAAAATAGGTTTAAAATCTGTTGTATTACAAAAACTTTCCAAACTTTACATGTATAAATTTCCAAAAATTTACCTTGATTCATGTGTATTTAAAGTATCCAATAAGGTTCTAATAATAGAAATGAGAAGTATTGAAGATGAAAGTTTTAAACTACGCTAAATTAAAAGAATTCCTTCTCAAAGAGGCCTTACTTATCTGTTGTCTAACAAAAAATGATGACCACAGCAAATAAGTAACTTCCATGGGAGTTTTACAATTATCAGGTATCAACAATTAACCCATTTCTTGATATCAAGCAAAACTGCAACTTGTAATAAAAGAATAAAGAATTAACACATAAAACAGCTAGAACTCAATCAAAGTCACTTTAAAATTAGTTAAATACTTGTTATAAAAATATAAGGCTATGTTGTGAAAAGATATATGTAGTGGTTTCTTTTTCTATTTGATAAAACCACTGCTATTACCGAATGATGAAATCATTTGACGGTTTTATGACATTTATTCATTTTTTTCATGGTGTGTAAGCCTCTGGATCGTAAATTGCAATAAAAAAATGGTTTATGTTACCTTTTTTTTGTCAAACGATCTGTGTGTAGTTAGTGCAAGTACATCTTCAGGTTGTTGGTAGAACGTTATATAAAACAGCATCCATTCGATGAACTTGTCAAAATAAATATGTCTAAAAACACGAAATACACAAAAAAATTTAAACAACAGGAAATTAAAAACTTGGCCAAGTGACAAACACACGAGACAGGCGCCGGTGGAATATACTATAAATACTTGTTGTAAAAATTTAAAAAATACAAGGCTACGTTGCAGAAAAAATATACCTAATGTTTTCTTTTTGGATTTGATAAAAACACTGTTTTACCAAAGGATGAAATATAATAGTACAATTACCTTGTCACAGCTCCGTAGTTTCCGTATACATACCGGAAATTACGGAGCTGTGACGAGGTAATTGTACAATTATATTATAGTCATCAATTCAGCTCAGGGGCTAAATCATGTCTATTGAAATAAAAAAAAACTCATTTAACAGTTTATGACATTTATTAACTGTCATAAATGTTTAATATACAATAAATACAATTTATCTTAACATTTTTATGACAGGCGTTGCCAGTACACAATACTTTTGTAAATATTGGTTCGGTGATTCTAAGCTTTCCTTATCCCCTGTACATGAGTTACCGTCCATTGGTCTTACTCTCATCCTTTTGTGCTCCACAGTAAAGTAATAAGTCCACAGTCTGTGGTTAAGCTTAAGCACTATTTCAAACCATATCCATATGTTTGGTTGTAATGAAAACAAAGTTATCTATATATTAATACGCAGGCGGTTTCCTTTTCACAGTCGTAACTCGATAACAGCTTGACGGATTTTAATGTTTGAGGTGTCAAATCAAATTACCATATTATCATGTAATTTACAATGTGTATTAAAACTCCTTTGTAGTGTTTTCTGTTATTTGGTTAACTTTTGTTTTTTATTTAAACTTAAAATTAAACGCCACCACTAAGACGAAGAGCTGTGAGTGGCTGGAAGGAACACGAATGTGACCGCTTGCATCAACCTCCCAATGGAACATTTGACGGACAGAGAGTGGCAGTACCGCCGTGATGATACATCAAAGCTCGGACAAATGAATGTTTATGTTTACATTGAGGTGGCTTACACTTTAAGAAAGAAAAGACTGGCCGAGACAGCGATGTTAAATGCGTATCCCTTCTATATCCGTCAGATCCACTTGCTTCCCTCTTATGGTACCAACCGGAGACTTTGTTTGGGGCCCTTAATTTAAACACGCCCAAAACCGAACATATCGTTGAAATAATATAGCAATGCTAGAGTACGTGTCATACTGGTTGGCGTCAAGAGAAGTATTTAGCTTGCTACATCAGGTCTGAAAAGCTCACTTTACAGTATGTGGTTGACATATAAGTGCTCATAGAGTGCACCTGCATACAGTACATAAGAGATAACCAAAGCAGTATGAGAGCGGATCTAGGTATACTTAAATATTGTAGATCACTTTTATAATTTTTTACAACATAATATTTTTCATATTTCTATAATCAGTCATAGAAATTAGAGTGCTTGATTGAGTTCTTGTTGTTTATGTTTTTGTTCTTTATGCTTTTATTACAAGTTGCAATTTTGCTCGATTTCGAGCAACGGGTTATCTAGTTTGAGTTTAATCACAAACAATAGACCACCATTTTTAATTAAATAATTAAATTTAAATTAATAATTATTAAATTAAATTCTTCCACAAGATTGGACTATAGGACACCTGATTCAGCAACAGGTGAAGACAATGACACAACTCCATTTAATTAATTCACTCCTATTAGAACTTCAATTTCAGATTAATTTATGTAATTAATGTGCTTTCGGCTAGTAATGTATACAACAAACCTATTTCTTGGATCGTTTTCTTACTGCATTTTCTTGTTTTTAGACACTGACATTACTCAGTCAGATAATAAGTTACAGTCAGAGTATGCTCTTACCCCTTTTATGCACTTACCACCACCCCACCTTAAGCTATCGAATGAAAATGTTATCTGATAATGTATCGCCGGTTTTCTGCAGAACTGTAGGAAGATGTGTTTAAGGTAATAGGCTACAGTAAAACTTCTTCTAAATTCACCCCATTGTACCACAGCCTGGGTTAAGTTAGAAATAATAAAATGGTAACCTAGTTAGATCAATAAGAAAGTAAAATGTCCTCCATGGTGTGGCATAGTTCGTATCTCTGGCATGTACAACAGGATTGTAATGGTACACACTACACACAGATGCCTTGACTTACCGAGTTTTAGATCATATCCAGAAAACTGTTGATTAAGGCTGATTTAAATATTTAGGAAATAGATTTTGTGCAAGTTTACAGGCTATCCTTGTAGATAGGCTGTATAAAGATAACATATAACAAAAGCATCTGGTATACATATTTTTGAACTGATGAATTTCCCGTTATCCAATTTTCCTAAAAAAAAAAAAAAAACACACACAGCGAAGCATAAATATCAAGGGCTGCAAATGGTGTCATTTGAGACCAGGGAACTATAAAAGATACATACTTATAAGCGTACAGAAAAAATTACTCAAAAACGACCATCCTAAATGGTTGTGTCAAGTCTGTCTCTAAATAATAAGTCCTTATTATTTCCTGTGTTTGTTAAGTTAAGCATACATTTTCTATGGAAGAAAAAATAAGTAAATGATGTGGAGTTGAGACAAGGGATTATCATTTACAGTTAGTACCTGAATGAAATCAAACACCAAAGCAGTTAACTTTTTAATTTTCACCAAATATATTTTATTAACAAATAAAAAAACTTAAACTAATATACTAAATGGTTTATGTGACAAATGTGATCAATGTCTTGGTTTAAGTGTACAGTAGACTCCTTCATATCCAAACTCCTCAGGACCAAAGCGAGTCCGGATAACGGTTTTTCCGGTTAAACCAACGTTCCCAAAAACTTGTTAAAACAGACCAATTAAATGCATGCTGTATACATATTTGACTTTAATTTAGGAGAGCATTGTATTTAGGCACGTGATACCTGGTCTCAAATCTTTCCCACAAGAACAGTCGTTTCAATACCGCCCACTTCCTGCCAATCTAGTCTGGTGGTTAAACCTATAAGCTGATTAAAATAGTCCGATTAAAGAGACCTCATTGCCACAGATTTTAGTTCGGTCAAACCGATGTCCAGTTAAAAGGTGTCTGGATAAGAGGGAGTCTACTGTATGAACAATTCTTAACACCCAAAAATAATATATTTATACTAATTAGCATAAAATGGAAAAATGTACAAAAACTTAACATTACTGGCTTTTCTGGACCAAGGCAGAAACTTAGGATAATAACGCAGTAATGTACTCTAACACTACATTAAAGTAGTCAGTTGTAATGTATATATAACAAATTATAGAATAATTATCGAAATAAATAATCAGTCCTAGATACAACTTAGTATTAAAAAAAAACACTGAATGAACAATGGAGATTTGTATCTTTGAAATGTTTGACTTTACATGAGTAAGATAACTGCTATGTTTTTGTGCACCATCATAGCCTAATTGTAAAAAAATGTTTAAACTGTGAGGTCACTCTACTGTGTGAATTAGTGTTGGTTTTTGTTGTTAAGGGTTTTCCACAAATATTGCAATTATGAGTTCACTCTACGGTGTGAATCAATGTATGTTGTTCCATATAGATTTTGTTGTGAAGGATTTTCCACAAATATTGCAATTACGAGTACACTCTACGGTGTGAATCAATGTATGTTGTTCCATATGGTTTTTGATGTTAAGGATTTTCCACAAATATTGCAATTATGAGTTCACTCTATGGTGTGAATCAATGTATGTTTCTCCATATGGTATTTTTGTGAAAGGTTTTCCACATATAGTGCAATTAATTATGAGGCCACAAAATTTATATTGCTTGATTGCACAATTGATTTTGAAGGATTTTCCATATGTAGTTCCACATATAGTGCACTTGCAAGGTCATTCCTCGGTGTGAACGCATATGTGTCTCTTCATATTACCACTTCTTGTGAAGAATTTTCCACATGTATTGCACTTACATGGTCACTCTCTAGTGTGAATTAAGGTATGTCTCGTCATCTTGTTTTTGGTTGTGAAGGATTTTCCACATATAGTGCAATTATGAGGTCGCTCTCCAGTATGAACCAATGTATGAATTTTCAAACTGCTTTTGACTGTGAAGGATTTTCCACATATGGTGCACTTATGAGGTCCCTCTCCAGTGTGAAGGAGTGTATGAATTTTCAAACTGCCTTTGACTGTGAAGGATTTTCCACATATACTGCACTTATGAGGTCGCTCTCCAGTGTGAACCAATGTATGTCTCATCAAACTACTATTATTTGTAAATGATTTTCCACATATGGTGCACTTATGAGGTCCCTCTCCAGTGTGAAGGAGTGTATGATTCTTCAATACAGTGTAGGTTGTGAAGGATTTTCCACATATGGTGCACTTATGAGGTCGTTCTCCTAAATGAGTAAATTCCAAATGCTTTTTCAAATGGCTTTGTAATGGAAAGGGTTTTTCGCATACAGTGCATTTATGACGTTGCCCTCCGGTGTGAACCAATGCATGAATTTTCATACTGCTTTTGGTTGTGAAGGATTTTCCACATGTAGTGCAATTATAAGGTCGGTCTCCAGTGTGAGCCAATGTATGTCTCATCATATTGCTACTATTTGTAAAGGATTTTCCACATATGGTGCACTTATGAGGTTGCTCTCCAGTGTGAAGGAGTGTGTGTTGCTTCAATATAGCATTGGTTGTGAAGGATTTTCCACATATGGTGCACTTATGAGGTCGTTCTCCTAAATGAACTTGAAATTGGTGTTTCCTCAAATGGCTTGGGCGTGTAAAGGATCTTTCGCATTCAGTGCACTTATAACGCCACCCTCCAGTGTGAACCATTGCATGACTCTTCATACTGATATTGGTTTTGAAGGATTTTCCACATGTAGTGCACTTATAAGGACGCTTCTCAGAATGTGACAATAAATGATCCTTTACTTGACGTAGTTGAACAAATGTTTTCTCACATGTCAAACATTTAAAGGGATGTTCACCCGTGTGTCCATATATATGATTTTTCATTTTCCATATAGCTGAAAACATGTTTCTACATATTGGACACGTATGGGGAAGACTTTTAGTGATCTTAGACATTTTTTACTTTGCACTTTTTGACTTTGTGAAACTTATCAAACAAGCAGGTAACTAACTATAATCAGGATAAGAATTAAATAATAGGTATTATAGACCAATACAATTTTCTTCTTTCAGGATATGTTAAGTGTATATAATTAAACTTAGGAAAATTCTTCTTTAGGAAATTCCCTTCCTCAAAATTTGTGATTGGTATGAGATTTTTTATGACATACTTTAGAGATTGTTTTTGCTTGTCTTAAATACAACTTCATATTTTATTAACTGCAAATTAAAATAATCTGTCAATGTGTTATTTTTCAATATTATTACACTTAAAGACTAACTAACTAATTATGATTTAACATTTAATTTTACAGAGTGAATTGCTGACTTCCATTTGTATTTACTGTAAAGTAAAATAATCTGTCAATGTGTTATTTTTCAATATTATTACACTTGAAAACATAACTGATTATGATTTAACATGTAATATTACAGAGGTAATTGCTTACTTCCATTTGTATTTAAGTGTAATAGAAACTTAATAACCTTTTTAGCTGTTTCTTAAAGTACTATTGTATCCTGAGATGATCTCAATAAGCTTCACTTCGCCGAATAGAAGATCCTTTTCATTATATCTGGGAAGGTGTATTGTAATTTCTGAAAAACACCCATATTTGATTAGATATGCGACGCTGCTTTCTGCACTGGGAAAAATAAATATTAAAAGTAAGTGCAGTCGCAACCGTTTGCCAAGGATAGCTCAGCCTACAATGGCTGGGTAAAGTTCCAGGGTCTGCGATAAGGTCAGGGAAACCACTAGGCCAAAAGCCGGGTCTAACCGGTATAGGACTGGCTCATACACGGGCACTGTGAACAAGTCAAAAACAAGTCACCAAAACAAACGTGCAATAATCACTACCAGGCCTACGCCGATTCTCCACACTCCTAGAGGGTCGTTGCTGACTACGCAACTCGGGCTTCGTCCTAACTATCCAATAGTTAAGCCCAGAGTGCCTAAAACACGGTGAGTTACACGACGACTTGCCAATAAAAACCACAACGCGCGTTATCACCAGGCGGGGTCTACTAGGCCACTACAATCCAATACACAACTCTAATGCCCAAGCTAAGAATCAAACAGTTCACTCAATAATCGTACCACATAATAATATACAAGTACACTATAGGTAGGGTGGCTACACCACTAGTAGCTGGTCTCAATAAATACCAAGCCAAACAAGCAAAACTAAATGGCAATTGCACTATTAAAATATTGAGCTACTTAGTAGCAGATAAATAAATATTAACTACGTTCCAAACACTAGATAAATATATTATCTGATAGCCGGTACTCCGCTATCCAAGCTACCAAGATAACGTGTTGGACTACTAAGCAAGCTGTTCAGGTTAAATTAAAATAATCAAATGAATAACCAATAACAACCCTACTACTGCTACTGCTACTACCAACTTTATGTTACTTAGCTGAGCTTCTGTTAATAGGCTAATAAAACTAGCTACTAGCCTGCTGGCCTCGTGCTTCCAACTACGCACGCTAAATCGTGCAGCCTAGGTTTGTCGGGCCTCAGAGTTATTAGTAATATAACTAACTCTAGGTACAACGCAAAATAATATCTACTACAGTCGATTAAATTATATTATTTGCGCTCTAGCACCTGCCCAGAACCGTCAGGAATATACTTTAATATTATTCCTGACTAATAAATCCTAACTACCGTCAGGCTTCGACCAGCACGGTTACAACTCTAACTCTCGCAATAAAATCAGATATTAATATATTCAAACTAATAATATCAGCTTTTAACCAAAATCAAAGAACGTCGTCCACTCACCAGCAGTGGGTCTTAACACCCAACTTAACACCAACTGTCACACCTCGTACACTCTGTACCTCCAACGTACGCCAGCCGTCTCCACAGGCACAGGACACCAACACTATCCTCACTCTACGAGATCCACCACTAGAATGTCCTGCTCGGCTATCCGGTAGTCCCAGGATACCCAAGCTTATCCGAACTGATAAGCCGGGTCAAAGGGTGCTAGCCAGGTTCGCCGCCGCCGCTTGCTTACCCCAACAATCGGTGCGCGGCCAAATAGCAAATATTTACCCCCCTAGGAAAAAGGCTCGTTACATCCCCCACTTACATCGGGATGAAAAAAAAGAAAACGGCCAAAAAGAAAAAAAATCTTTAAACTCCGGCCAAAACAAAATACTCCAACCTCTAACCCAATGGTGAACCCTACACCACAGGTCTCAAACTTAACACAAAGAAAAACTCTTCTACTCGCCACTACCAGCCAACATGGTGCTGAATGATTTAGCATCATAAACCAGACGGGGATTTCCATTGCAAGGGCCTTCGGGGTCTTCGTCACCAATTTTGACACTGTCTATGCGGCCACCTTGGCCAGAACAGTAATCACCCACGCCCATTCTTACTACCTCTGTCCCACATGTCACCAATCCGAGGTCTCGGATGACATCCATACCCAGAATCATGTCTATGGTGAGGGTGGGGACGTACAAGGCATCTCCTACCCACCGTCTTCTCGCAGCTTCTCCTGCCAATCGGAATGAATACTCGGCTCTAGACCGTGACCCATCTGCCATCCTTAGAGGAGCGGGTTTCTTGTAAGGCTCTATCCCCTGGCGTTGAAGATGTTCGGCGACTCCTCGCCCAACCAAGTTGACGACGGACCCAGTGTCCAGTAACGCCACAAAAACGCTGCCCATCAGCACAACTTCAACGAAGGGCCTAGAGTCCAAAGTTAGCCGGTCCTCGTCTACTCCACCAACCAGGCTGTTCAGTTTTCCGAGCCACTCGGACCACTCTTCTGAGGTCGTTCGTTTTCGGTGGCCGTGCCCAGTTGACCTCCTGATGTCTGAGCTGGCCTGCCGTTTCCCGCACGACATCCACACTGGTTCACAGTAAGACCGGGTTTCCCACACCCAAAACAGGAGACGGTCCTCGGCTTGCCACAGCCTCTAGCAAAGTGACCAATCTCCTGGCACCTAAAACAACGCACATCCTTTGCACCATCTGCAACTTCCCTAGTCATTACGGGCCTTTGTTCATGGACCCGGTTAGAGTCAAAATCTACTCTCTGCCCAATCGACTTTGCCTCAAGGGATGGTCTCTGAAAATTATGTCTTTCGACCGCGGCCGTTTCAAAACACTTCCCAGCCTTCTTCTTGGGAACATAGGCGGTTTCCAAAACCAGCGCTACGTTTGGTGAAGGAGGAGGTCGGAAGGCTGCCTTCTCTCGCAGATAGGCCTCGTAATCTTCAGCCAACTCCACCATCTCGGCCAGGTTGCTGAAGTCACGCCGGCGTACCATCAGCTTGTACTCAGGACGCATATTGTTGTAGATCAAGTCCAATCTACCATGCTCTGACAACGTACCGCTACGCCTAAGCAAGGTACTTATGGCCACGACATAATCTCGGAAGTGTTCGGTCTCACCCTGCGTCCTTTTCCGGATCTCCTCATCCAAATTCCTCTGATAACCAGGTGGAAGGAACTGGATCTCAAATTGATGCCGGAAAGCTTCAAAAGAATACAGGAGCTCCTTGCAGTTCCTATACCAAAGAAGTGCTGAACCTTGCCACAGCTCCGGCAGCGCTCTGAGCAGGTCTTCTGATATTATAGAGTACGAGACCATCAGCTCTTCAAGGCGCTCCAGGAACGACACAGGGTCTCGTCGGCCATCAAACCTTAAACCCCACTTCCGGACCATGTCACATATCTTGGAGCAATCCTTTGGCTCCACCCTGCTGGCCTCATTTGAGAGCATATCCGAGCCTCGAGGCAGCTCCAAGCTAGAAGGACGGACTGGTCTCTCCAAATTATCACTAGGTCGCTGCCATCCCTTGGGTCTACTTGGTAACCCAAAGGTAGGCATGGGAGCAGCCACAACAGGGGACGTAGGGTTGGCGGGTCTTTCGAACCCATAGCCGACCTCATTACTCGGCGAGCCTCTCGCCTGTCGCACCACCGATGCCAGATATTCTCGAAGAGTCCGGGTATCAGTCTCCAAAGACAACCCAAGAATCTCTTTGACCGCCTCTAACTCCCTGCTAAGTTCCACTATCTCTGCTTGATTCGATTCCGCATTACCCATTACCTGAGGTACGGTTCTCAGGGGGTCAGGAAGCTCCACAGTTGTAGTAGCTTGGTGTACATATGTCGGTGCAGCAGCCCCAGCCGTACACAGCCTATCATGGCTGTACCGACGGGCATTCCGCTGCTTCCAAAACGATGAAAATCTCTGCCGTAATTCAGCAGAAGTCCCAGTGGTCACCAAACCATACTGGTCCATCGTTCTCATGAGCTCCCCTTTCGAGAGGTCATAGATCCAACCCACGCGACCGTCCCGGGGCTGCGACCCCAAGGACATAGTCGCTGGCGCGGAATAGGTCAAAGAAGTTGTCACCGTCGTAGCCACGACCGATGAAATAGTCGGCCAAACGAGCGAAGACGCCGGCCACAATGACGATGTCGTAACCACCGACAGTTCGGAGCTAACCCCAGAACTAGTCGTTGTAACAATAGCAGACGTGATAGGCGTACCGCCTAGCACAGACGTCGTACTCGTAGTCACAACCATATTTAAAATTCAAATACCACGACTAATCCGCAAAAATAAGAGCGAAACCGATTAAAATCTATTTAACACCGTACTATAAATCAAACCAAATATAGGTGTGAACGTCAAACCACAAATACACAATAAGGGTTCTCACTCAAATAATATTCAACACTAAAGCTCAATTAATTAGCAAAATAATATTTACCAACTAATATCTATGTATACAACCACTAAATAAATTAGGGTTCACAACACACCACGCTGTAACAGAAAACAGGTTAGGCCTACCCAACCGACTATAAAATCACAGCAGGTCTGCCTAAAACTCTGCTCAACAGCTCAGGTCCGCAGCCAATCTGCACAAGTCCGCAGCAAATCTGCACAAATAAAATTATTTTGTTCGGGCGCCGTTAATACGTCAGCCACTCAGCACCACTGCCAACCTCAGTCCCTGTTCGCAGGCGCCATCTTGCGACGCTGCTTTCTGCACTGGGAAAAATAAATATTAAAAGTAAGTGCAGTCGCAACCGTTTGCCAAGGATAGCTCAGCCTACAATGGCTGGGTAAAGTTCCAGGGTCTGCGATAAGGTCAGGGAAACCACTAGGCCAAAAGCCGGGTCTAACCGGTATAGGACTGGCTCATACACGGGCACTGTGAACAAGTCAAAAACAAGTCACCAAAACAAACGTGCAATAATCACTACCAGGCCTACGCCGATTCTCCACACTCCTAGAGGGTCGTTGCTGACTACGCAACTCGGGCTTCGTCCTAACTATCCAATAGTTAAGCCCAGAGTGCCTAAAACACGGTGAGTTACACGACGACTTGCCAATAAAAACCACAACGCGCGTTATCACCAGGCGGGGTCTACTAGGCCACTACAATCCAATACACAACTCTAATGCCCAAGCTAAGAATCAAACAGTTCACTCAATAATCGTACCACATAATAATATACAAGTACACTATAGGTAGGGTGGCTACACCACTAGTAGCTGGTCTCAATAAATACCAAGCCAAACAAGCAAAACTAAATGGCAATTGC